TGGTTTATTGGAGGTAAGAGTCTCACGGACTTTCCTGCCTGGGCTGGCTTTGAATGCCAATCCTCAGGTCTCAGCCTCCTGAGTAGCTAAGATTACAGGTGTGAGCCACCGGCCAGGGGTGGGGAGGCTCCCTTTTTTCAAACACAAACAGTTCTGTGGCATAAAGCAAATTAATTTATCTTGTTGAACAATGGTCACCACCATCCTCGGGTCTCTTCATCTCACACGACTGAAGCTACACCCACCAAACAGCTCTGTGCCCACCTCCAGGCTGCCCCTGACAACCACATTCGTCTTTTTGTCTCTATGGTTGTGACAACTCCAATGACCTCATCTAAACAGCATCACACGCGGTCATTTTTGAAGACTGGTTTCCTGCCCGTTTTTGTTGTCACAAATTTGTCCCAGGCTGTGGCAAGTCCTAGCATGCCATCTTTTTTTTTTTTTTAAGCTGAGTAGTATTTCATCAGATGTGTGTGATACTTGTTAGCCATCTACCCATCTATCCATCCACCTATCTATCCTTCCCTCCTTCCTTCCATCCATCCACTCATCCATCCATCCATCCCCCACCCCCTCCCCCAAACACACCCATGGACACTTGTGGCCACTTCCACATTCTGCTGCCATGAGCTTGAGTGTACAGATGCTACTTTGGGACACACACTCAGAAATGGAGGGAACTAATGGATCACATGAAAAATCTACTTTTAATTTCTATTTTCTATAGGGCACTAAGGCTCGATCTCTGCATCTCTTTGGCAACACCCCTCCTCCCACCCTGTAGCAGCTATCCTGATGAGTTTAATGAGCACCCCATCTTTGTGTGGTGCGCCAGCTTCCCGCTGGCCTGGCCTTGCTCCAGGACAAATGACTGTCCCCTCCCCCACCACCGCTGCTTTCCCCATTTCCTGTTTTAGTGACTTTGGGCATTTAGCAGCAATCTGAAATATTTTTCTTATTTATTTTCAGTCTTGGGCAATCAAGCCTCATAAACTCTTGTAACTCTGGCTTGTTCCCTAGGTGTCCCCTAGGGGAGGGGCCGGCCCATGGCAGGGGCTCCAGGAATGACAGATTCAGGGATGGAAGGATGGAAGATTCCAGGATGGAAGGAACAGAGCAGGATTTCGGCCTGGATTCAGACAGCAGGTAGCATTCGAGCTTCTGGTCATCAACTAGCAAGTCCCAACATATGCCAGGTGCTGGGTTACAGGCATGACCATCATGCCTGCCCTTATGACTTAATTTCTTACATTTAAAATCATAACAAGAAGCTAGGCTCTGGCAGCTCATGCCTGAAATCCTAGCTACTTAGAAGACTGAGATCCAAAGATCACAGTTTGAAACCAGCCTGGACAGGAAAGTCCATTCAGGCTCTTATCTCCAATTAAGCATGCATGTGTGCGCATGTGCATGTGCGTGCGTGTGCACATGTGCGCGCGCACACACACACACACACACACACACACACACACACACACACACACACACACAGAGCTGGAAGTGGAGCCATGGCTCAAGTGGTAGAGCGCCAGCCTTCAGTGAAAAAGTGCAATGATAGCCCTCAGGCCCCAAGCTCAAGCCCTAGGACTTGCATGCGTACAAGTGCGTGTGTGCACAGCACACACATGCACTTGCTTGCGTGTGTGCGTGTGTACATGCGGGCACACGCACACCTCTCCCCCCCATTAAATTGACTGACTCAGGAATAGCCTCGCTTGCAACTTCTTGTAAAGTGAGATAAAAACTTTTTGGCCTTTTCTTATTTGCGGCCCAAAGCATCCTGATGGTTATCTCTCCATGACCTGTCATCTTCTAGGCCCCCCCTAGTGGAAGGCAGGTAAGGCTGGTAGCATGCTCTGGGGGGACTTCCTGGAGGAGGCTACTCGAAAGCAGACTCAAAGTAAGAGCAAGAGGACAGGGGTGGAGCCGGGAGCAACATTCCAGGCAGAGGGGCAGAATTCAGGCCTGGAAGCTGGACACACCGTGTGTTGGGGGGGGGGGGGGGGTGGTCACAAGACAGACTGGTGGGCCGACGTTACCCTTGCTGAGGGACCTGACCTTGAACTGTCCACTGTACTCCCTTGCCTAGCTTTATCAGATACTGAGTGCACCGGGCCACCCCCTCCCTCAGACACAGCCCCGTGAGCCCAATGTCCCCTGAAGGAAGGGGCAGGGCACCTAGCCTATTTCTTGTGAGGTATGTTTCTGTCCACCAGGGGTCTTCCAAGGCCCTCCCCAGGGGGGGTCAGGGTCGTCAAATCCCTGGTTGAAATCTGGGTCACTCTGCCTTCAGGGTGCAAATCCATCACCTGCAGCTTCCCCCTGCAAGGGGGTGAAGGTCAAGGGTAGGGGGTCCTTCTGGGTGAAGGGTCAGGTCCAGCAGGAAGAACAAGGCTAGCACATGCATGGTTTTGGACAGTGGTTAAGAAGCCTGGAGGAGAGGCAGTGTGTGGGACAGACCCTCAGGAAGTAAGGGGCTGGGTGTGAGCCCTGTGCACCCAGAGCTTCCAGAACAGATGGGGGCAGGGCGGCACTGTTGGGTATAGGTATGATTTGCAACCCACACTAGCCAAACTGAGTATCTCCAGTGCTGGTGGTCACGCCTGTAACCCTGGCTACTCAGGAGGCTGAGATTGGGAGGATTGCAGTTTTGAAGGCAGACAGGCTGAAAAGACCAAGAGATTCTGTCATCAAAATAACCAGCAAAAAGCTGGGCTGGAGGCTGGTTCCAATCCCAGGTCCTCCCCTTACTGTGTGACTGTGAGTAACTTCATCCTGGAGCCACAGGCTCGGTGGCAAACCACATGTAAGGTCTGAGATTCCTTTTCCCACCTGGCTGAGCCCCTGCATTCCGGTGGTCTCCTACAGCAAGCCTCCTGGACTCCCCTCACCCCACTGGACCACGCCTGGCTCCATTCTGCTACACAGGCCTGGCTCCTGAAGGGAGAGGGGCGAGGGGCAGCGCACTCCAGCATCAAGCTGTAGCCTGGCACAGTGTCTTGGAGGCCTCTGTGCCCCCCATGCCTGCTCCACCCCAGGGTGACACCAGAGGGAGGAAATGAGTTAGTCACCCGGAGGCGGAGGGAGGCAGGCTCAAGGGAGGGTTGAGGATGGGTGACTTCACTACACCTTTATTTTTTTCACTGCTGAGGACTGAACTCAGGCCCTTGTGCCTGCTGGGCAGGCTGCTCTGCGCCTGGGGCCACTCCCAGCCCTTTTGCTTTTAGTTTGATCTTCAGATAAGGTCTCTCACACTTTGCCTGATCAGTCTGGAACCTCTATTCTCTTCCCCCAGCCTCCCTCCTCCGGCTCTGCCTCTCCAGGACCTAAGATTAAAGCTCTCCTCACCACACCTGGCCCTGGGTCCCTGCATCTTGAGGGCTGAAGTGGAATTTACTGGGATGTGGAGAGAAGGGAAAGCAGGTGAGTGGTGTTGCGTGTATACGGGGACCCAGAGTCTCAAAGGCCTTGAACACCAGGAATTGACCCCAGAGAAGAGCAGAGCCGTGACCTGAGCCACTCGGGCCTCCGAGGGCTGGTCTTGCTGCCCCAAGCCACGCCTGGGTGCAGAGGGCACAGCATGTGTAGGCCCTGGCCACTGGACAAATGTGCAGGCACCTTCTGGAGCCAGACCAAAGGTGACTTTTGACCTCTGAGTCATCTTGAGACTGGACTGGTCACCGGCTGCCTGTGGAAGGAGAGGGGGACACAGGAGGGGGCTGGACAGGAGGGGGGGAGCCTCTGGGGGCCGGCCTCCCTGTGGTCAGGCAGGTGAGCCAGGCTTATTTTTGAGACTTCCAAAGTGAATTCTGCAAGAGGTGCAGGGGTGGGCCAAGGTGGCCAGTCCCTCCACAAAGGGAACGGTGGGGGGGGGGGGGGGCTGAGGGAGTATGTTAGGGAGGGAACCTGTTTGCTTTGGGTTTTAAACAACTGGTTAAATGGGTTACCTTCAGCAATCTGAAGACCTCAGGCTGTACCCAGGCCCAGAGAGGAGGGAGGGGAAGGAGGGGAAGAGGGGGAGGAGGGGGGGGAGGAGGAGGAGGAGAATAAAGTAGACTGTCTGCAATAAAAGTGACAGTGTCCCCACACAATGGCTGGACGGGGATCTTCAGTCAAGACAAATCAGAGTGAGATTTCCAAGCCAGAACTTTAACTAGCAAATAACAGCCTTGCCTTGAATTCTCCCCCCTCCCCTGTCCTCCGACCTCAGCTTTTAAAGGGGACGCCAGGCAAGGGGGGGGGGCGGGAACGGCTGCGACTGTCATTTCAACTTAACCTTGAGTGGAAGAGTGGAAATGCATTCATTCATTCACTTGGTGGCGGGGTGCCCCGTCCACCCCCCCCCCCCCGCCGCCTGTCACCACGCTGGTAAACAAGGGGCTGGAGTTAGCGGAGCCCCGCTCCCCCCGCCGCGCCCGCGCCCCAGCCCCGCGCCCGCCCGGCCTCGCCCCCGCCGGGGAGCCCCGTCCTTCTCACTCTGCGCCTCTCCCCTCGCGAGGCCTGCAACTATTTTGTGGTTGTTTTCCCCGCTCCTCCTCCGAGCGCGGCCGGGGCCGGGCCTCCCCGCCCGCGCCGCTCTCGGGCTCCGAGGCCCGCGGGCCCCCGGTGCTCCGGGCCGGGCCGGGGCCTGGCGGTCAGCGCGCCCCACACCTGTTATCCTCCACTCGCTCGCTCATTCATTCGCTCGCTCACTCATTCGTTCACCCGCGCGTTCATTCATTCCTGGGCCGCCCGGGGGCGTCGCGATCCCCGCGAGGCGGCGGGGGCGCGGGGTCAGGGCTGGGGGCGGGGCCGGCGCGGCGCGGGGCGCGGGCTTTGTGCGGCGCGGGCAGGGGTCGCGGCGGGGTCGCGATCGCGGGTTGGGGGGGGTGCGCGGCGGGGGTCGCGGTTTGGGGGGGTCGCGGCCGCGGCGTCCCGGCAGGGCGGCGGCGTCCCCGGCCCCCCCCCCCCCGCGTCCCCGGCCCCCCGCGCCCCTTTGTCCGGCCCCGCGCGCTCACCTGGTCTTGGAGGACAGGAAGGCCAGCTTGACCAGGCCGTAGGTGAACAGCGGCAGGCTCTCCTTGGCGACGCTGGCAACTTGTAGCCGGTGCTCGAGGATGTGGAGTTCCATCGTCCGCCCGCGCCCCGCGCCCCGCGGCGGCGGCTCATCCGCGGGGACGAGCTCGGCCCCCGCCCCCCGCGCGCCGGCCGGCTGGGGACCCCGGGCACTGCGCAGCCGGGCAGGGCCGGTCCCGGACGCGCACCAAGGACGCCCGCCAAGCTGCCAGGGGCCGCGAGCCGGGCGGGCGGGCGGGCGGGTGAGCGGTGGCACCGGCGGGGCCCGAGCGGCCGAGCGGGCGGAGCGGCGCGCGGCGGCCGGCGCAGCAGCAGCTGCTCTTCGCTGTAACAAACAACTTGCCACTCAAACGCCGGGGAGGGGCTCCACGCATGCGCCGACGCGCGCGCTGCCTGCCGGGACGTGTAGTCCGCGCATTGCCTGGCCCTTCCGGCCGCCGGTGGAGGAGGAGGCTGCACCCCGAATGCGAGAACGCGGGGTTCCCCAGGGTTGCGAGGGACGCTGAGAGGACGTCCGAGGACTTTAGAAGCAATCTGAGCCCGCGTGCATGCTCTGTCGTCCTCGGGACGGGCGCTTTGGGGTTCCCCTCCCCACAAGTCCTGCGCAGGGGGAGGCCGGGGAGGGGGGAGGTTTGGGAAGCGGGGGGGGGGGGGGGGGCGTGGGGGCCGAGGTGTATGGAAGCGAGGCCGCGGGGAGTGCGGGGGACGCCAGGGAGTGAGGGGCTAGAGGCCGCCCGGCACCATCCGCCCCGATGTCCTGGTTGGGCTTTGCAGGAGCCCGTAGGAGGGGAGGCCGCGTCCGGACGCACTGAGTGTGGAGGCCCGGGCCGACTTTGTCTTTGTTGAGGGGTTGGGGGAGGGGGCGTGAGGGGTACTGGGGGGAAGGTGAAGGAGGAAGGAGAGACAGGGCCGGGATTTGGGCGGGGTCCCGGGCTGTGAGGCCAGAGGCGGGATAAGATCTGTCCACATCTGAATGCCTTGGGCATTTGCCCCAGGAGAGGCTAATGCAACCCCAGGGTGCAGGCCAGAGCTGGTGGAAGCCTAGGCTAATGCAGGCCAGGAATGGTGGAGACCGGGCCTAATGCAGGCCATGGCTGGTACTGGCCACGCTAGTGCAGGCCAAGGCTGGTGCAGGCCTGGGCCAGTGCAGGCCTGGGCCGGTGCAGGCCAGGGCCAGTACATGCCAGGGTCCGTGCAGGCCGGGGTTAATACAGGCTGGGGCTAATGCAGGCCACGGCTGGTACATCGTGGACCCTATCCTGCAAATATTCCCAGCTCCCTGGCTGACTGGTCTGGAAATTTTCCAGGTTAAGGTGACCAGCTGCTGCTTTGCCCTCTGGCTGAGTCATCCGGGAGGAGACCCGTCAGGTCCACCTGCTGGGGTAGAAAATCAAGAGGAAGATTCTGGGGTGTCTGCCCCCAAATCACAGCCTTTCTGTGCTGAATCTCAGAACAGGCCTGCTTTAACTGCTTAGATAATGCAGATATTTACTGTAGTGTGTGTGTGTGTGTGTGTGTGTGTGTGTGTGTACACTCATCCTGGGACTTGAATTCAGGGCCTAGGTGCTGTCCCTGAGCTTTTTTGCTCAAGGTTAGTGCTCTACCACTTAAGCCACAGTGCCACTTCTGGCTTTTTGCTGATTAATTGGAGATAAGAGTCTCACCTTCTTTCCCAGGCTTCTAACGACCCTCAGTATTGAAGTCTCAGCCTCCTGAGCAGCTAGGATTACAAGTGTGAGCCACCTGGGATGTATTTACTATGTTTATTTTTTCCCTCGTCCTCTCATCTCTAAAATCTCAACTCCTTAAAAGCAATGATATGTTTTCTTTCTGTTTTCTTCTGGAGTCTCAGTGATGGTCATGGTAACTGGCATGTGACAATGTCAGTTCAACACCTGTGGGCTGTGTGCCTGCATGCATGTGCACAGGTCTTTAGGATCTAGATCTGGACCATGTGGAAACACACTTAGTCCAGACTGGTAACACAGGCCTGGGAAGTAGGCAGCTGGGCATCAGCCACTCAGAAAGATGTCGGAGGGAAACAAACAAACAAAACACGAAATATAAGCCAACTAAGGAGGAAATGACAACAGGCAAGATGTGTCCAGTTCTCTAGCATCTGCACTTAGATGCCCAAAGTTGCTCTTTTCCAGTCTTCAGTCCCTGACCTGTGAGCAGATGGTGAACAGTTTAACCAGGGAGACTAACATTAAAATATAAACTATATAAAAATGTAAATTTAAAAAAATGGGCTGGGAAGGTAGCTCAGTGGTAGAGTGCTTGCCTTGCATGCTTAAGACTCTAGGTTCAATTCCTCAGCACCACATAAGCAGAAAAAGCTTGGCGCTGTGGCTCAAAAGTGGTAGAGCACTAGCCTTGAGCTGAAGAGCTGAGGGACAGCGCCCAGGCCCAGAGTTCAGGCCCCACAACTGACCCCTTCCCCCCCAAAATATATATGTGTGTATCTATGTATGTATGCTGGACACCTGTGGCTCATGCCTGCAATCCTAGCTACTCAGGAGCCTGAGATCTGAGGATTGTGGTACAAAGCCAGCCCTGACAGACAAATCCAAGAGATGGTTACCTCCAATAACAATCAAAAAGTCTAAGGTGTGTCTCAAGTGGTAGAGCCTCAGCCTGGAGTGAAAAAAGTTCAGGTACAGTACCCAGGCTCTGAGTTCAAGCCTCCCTTTCCCCTATGCACACAAAATATTAGAATATAAAAAGTGGTACAGAGCTGGGTACTGGTGGCTCACACCTGTAGTGCTAGCTACTCAAGAGGCTGAGTTCTAAGAATCATGGTTCAAAGCCAACTCAGACAGGAAGGAAAGTCTGCGAGACTATTTCCAATGCCCAGGCCCTAAGTTCAAGCCCCATGCCTGACAAAAAAAGTACAGAACACTGTTCATAGGCTAAGATTTTTTTTTTGTCTCAAATTTTTTGTTTTGGCCAGTAAGCATGTGTAAATTTATGTTCTGTATCTTAATAGAAGCTTTTTTTTTTCCTCTTTGGCAGTACTGGGGTTTGAACTCAGATCTTTAAACTCTCATTTAGCTTTTTCTCTCAAAGCTAGTCTTCTATCACTTGAGTCACACCTCCACTTATGGCTTTTTAATGCTTAGTTAGAAATAAGAATCTCAGATTTGTCTGCCAGGGCTGGTTTTGAACTTTGATCCTCAGACCTCAGCTTCCTAAGTAGCTGGGATTACAGGTGTGAGCCAACAGCACCTGGCCTAAGCATCCATCTTTGTTTTTCTTTCTTTTTTGTCAGTTGTGAAGTTTGAACTTTGGGCCTGAGTGCTATACCTAAGCTTTTAGTCTCAAGGCTAGCACTCTACCACTTGAGCCACAGCTCTACTTCCAGTTTTCTAGTGGTTAATTGGAGATAAGAGTTTCATAGATTTTCCAGCCTGGGCTGGTTTCCAACCACAATCCTCAGATCCTTAGCCTTCTGAGTAGTTAGGATTATAGGTGGGAGCCACCATTGCCTAGCCTAAACGTGGTTTGTTGTTGTTGTTGGTCATGGGGCTTGAACTCTGGGCCTGGACTCTGTCCCTGAGCTCTTCAGCTCAAGGCAAATGTTCTACCACTTGGGCCACAGCACCACTTCGGGCTTTTTGCTGATTAATTGGAGATAGGAGTCTCTTGGACTTTCCTTGCCTGGGGTGGCTTTGAATCATGATCCTCAGATCTCAGCCTCCTGAGTAGCTAACATTACAGGTGTGTGCCCAGCCTAACCATTTCTTAATATGGGTCTTGGTAAAAAATATTCAAAGCCAAGTATGGTGGTATGTGCTGGTAATCAGGAGAATCAGAAGTTCCAGGCCAGTCTGGGCTATCTAGTGAGATACTGTTTCAAAATCAAAACAAACATTAGGGAAAAGTATGTAGGTGAAACTATTCTTTTTTTTTTTTTTTTGGTCTGGTCGTGGGGCCTGAACTCTGGGCCTGGGTGCTGTCCCTCAGCTTTTCAGCTCAAGGCTAGTGCTCTACCACTTGAGCCACAGCACCACTTCTGGCTTTTTTCTTTTTGCTTATGTGGTGCTGAGGAATTGAACCCAGGGCCTCAGGAATGCAAGGCAAGCGCTCTACCACTGAGCCACCTTCCCAGCCCGAAACTATTGTAGCCATCTTTGGAAAATACACCCAGCCACTTAGCAATGTGGGTTCCAGAGAAAGCACTAGTAATGGCAGCTTCATTTTGCTGTCTTCAGTGTCTGCCTGGTGAGGGGCTTGGATAGTGGTGGTGGTGGTGGTGGTGGTGGTGTGTGTGTGTATGCGTGCGTGCGTGCATGCACACACTCATGCCAGTCCAGAGTCTGGGTGCTGTCCCTGAGTTTTTTCACTCAAGGTTGTTACCACTTGAGCTCCATTTTGGCTTTTTGGTTAATTGGAAATGAGTGTCACAGACTTTTCTACCTTGGCTGGCTTTGAACTGTGATCCTCAGATCTCAGTCCCCTAAGTAGCAAGGATTATAGGTGGGAGCCACCAGCACTTGGCTTCCTCTCCTGTTCTTTGAAACAGGGTCTTGCTATGGAGTTCCAGGTGGCCTGGAACTCATAATTCTCCTGCCTCTGCCTTCTGAGTGCTGGGATTACAGATACACACCACCTTGCCTGGCTTTCTGTTCAGGAAGACATTTGATAAACTTGCCTGCCTGCCTGCCTGCCTGCCTGTCTGCCTGCCTGCCTTCCTGCCTTCCTGCCTTCCTGCCTGCCTGCCTTCTTCCTTTCTTCCTTCCTTCCTTCCTTCCTTCCTTCCTTCCTTCCTTCCTTCCTTCCTTCCTTCCTTCCTTCCTTCCTTCCTTCCTTCCTTCCTTCCTTCCTTCCTTCCCTCCTTTTCCTTTAACTTGGGGCCTTGTGCTCTTACTGAGCCTTTTTGCTCAAGGCTGGAGCTCTACCACTTGATCCACAGCTCTGCTTCCAGTAGTTTGCTGATTAATTGTGGATAAGTGTCTTTCAAGGTTTTTCTGCCTAAGCTGGCTTTGAACTTCAATCCTCAGATCTCAACCTCCTGAGTAGTTAGGATTACAGGTATGAGCCACCAGCATCTAGCCAGGTTTTCTCAATAATTCTCTATGGATTTGGTTGGAGGGCATTTCTTGATAAATG